CCAGAAGGACCCTCCCCTAGAAACCTCCAAGGGAGTGTGACCCTGCCAGTGCCTTGGGTTTGGATGTCTGCCGTCAGAACAGTGAAAGAAAGTATTTCTGTTGTTTTTAAACCACCAGGTTTGTGGTAACTTGTTATGGTGGCCTTAGGAAATCACTGTAACCTCCCAAGAGTCTGCCAGAGAGGCTGTCCCCTCAATGCCACCAGCAACGTTGGTGCCCCACTCTCCACAGCCTTACAAGTGCCTGGTGTTGTTGCTATTTTGTGGGTTATTTGAGCCATCCCAGCAGGTGTCTGGTGATATCTCACTGCCTGTGTGGTTTTAACGCTTCCTACTTTGTGTGTTGACAGATAAGACTTTGTGAGCTTCGGTGTGCCTCGTTTGTTGCTAACTGAGGGATAGCGGTTGTGGTTTAGTTTGAATTTTCCCAGTGGCTGATGATGTTGAAGGTTATTTCATGCTCTTCACATAATTTTCCATCTGCATCTCCTCTTCAGTGAGACATTTCTTTATGCATTTTGGTCATTATCTAATTGGGTGTTTTTTACTGCTGAATTTGGAGAATTCCTTCTGTGTGGTAGACTCCAGTCCTTGTGGAAACTGTGATCTGCAGGCATTTTCTGTTACTCTGTGTCTTGTCTTTTCATCAGCTCACCAGGGTCTACCACAGAACAAAATGTTTGGATTTTGATGAATCCGATGGAACGATTTTTCCATTTATGAATTGTGCTCTTGGTGTTGAGAATCTCCTTGCCTAGCTCCGGATCCTGAACACTTTCTCCAACATTATTTTTACTTTTTATGGCAAGTCCACTGTCCTCACAGCCCAAACCCACCCCCACGGAGGACATAGTCTTCCCAAATATGTCCTGCATGTGCTCTGAGCCTCATCAAACAGCACAACAGTTCAGTCAATGTGGGAAATTCAAGAAGAGAAGGAAAGCATGCTGAGTTTGCCACACTTCTGCTCCTGCTTCCTGATGACTGGATGCCTCCTCCATCATACTCCTTCTGCTGGGACATCTGTGCTCTCCCGTTGCGTGGATCCGGTCCTGGTCTCCCTCTGCGCCCCCAGCCCGCTGCAGAGCCGCCTCACGGAGCTTTCATGTCACCTCCTGCACCTTTCAGCTCCAGCATCTTGGTGCTTCTTCACATCTTCATCCCACAGATCTGGCGGGTCCAGCAGCCTCGGGGGGTGGAGGGGTCTTCAGCTCCCACTTGGCCTTGGTGCTGGGGCTGCACTGGGGCCATGGGGTTCTGTGTCCCTATGGCTTCTGGTCGGAAAAGCAGTTGCCTAGCAGTCTCTGTCTGCCCGTGCAGCTTCCATCCTGTTCCTTTGGCCAAGGGCAGCAATAGAAGGGCCTTTCAGCCCCTTACACTGTGTGATCCATGGTGATCTGGGCTTTGGACCCACTCATAGGAAGTGGACAGGAGGCATCTGTCCAGCTTCCAGAGGCAGAGGTCCCCTTCCCAATCTCCTTCTGTGTAATCTTTCTGATTTCTCCAAAATGACACCTATAATTTGAAAAAATTAAGTAAATGTAAAATGAAAATAGGTGTATTCATTTTATAACTATCATCATGCATTTTGAGCTAATCAAGTATGGGTATTTTCTTCTGTTTTTTGAATTATTATCAACCCTTAGAAATCTTGACACATTGCAATATTTTATAATATTTTTATAAAAGAATAAACACACACCGTTAAGCACATGCATATGCAACACCAATGTCCTGTCTGGTAATATGCAAATATTCACTTGTACTATTCACACTTCAGAAACTGACCCAGTTTCAAGCCTACCCAGTAATGCAAATATAAGAAGCTACAAGGGGTTCTGACCAGCTTTCACCCCAATGAGGTGTGTGGTCATGAGTAAGAACCAAGTAAAGGGAATCAAATGCAGGTCTCTGCCACTAGGAACTTGAAGCAGGGAAGTGAGACTTTAATTATTGATAGGAATTGATGTGTGCTTTTTCTTCCTCTTTTTTTAAAATAGTGTGTGTTTCTAATTGCTAACATACTGCAAATAACTTGCAAGGAGACCTGAGTGCCCTGCTATGAGAACTCCAAGCATTTCCAAGCAGTATTGATTGATAAACGGCACCGCATGCTCCTGTCTTTGTTTCCTAAGGTTAGGTGGGGCCCCTCCTCCCTGGGACTCCTTACATGGAGAGCCACTTGGGCTCAGGTCAAAGCTCATGGTCCCTTCCCCTCACTTTCTGGGCACCTGAGAGTTCAAGGTCAGAATGCTGAGCAGCTAGTCAAGACAGGAGGAAGCAGAGAGGTAGCCAAGCGGGTCTTGGTTACAAAAAAGATGGCGGGGAGAGGGTGGGGATCCCATGGGAAATGTCTTCACGACTTTGTATGTGTGCCTGAAGGTGCAGGATAATTCTGATTTTAGGAGAACTCTTTATTGGGTGCTCCATGTGCCAAGAAGTGTGTGGTTAGCACTTACAAAGCTAAGGAGTCAGTGCAGGAGCCTTGCCCAAATAGTTGTGTTTGTTCACAGTGAAGAGCATGCCCATCCCCATGTTTTCTGAAGGAGCACTGTGATCCATCCAGGTGCCAGAGTGCCGATCCTGCTGGCCCTGGACCCCCAAGGCCCTCTGAGTTGGGGTAACAGAAAATCAGAAACACCAAAGGGAAAATCAACACAAGGAAAGAGAACCTACGCTAGAAACTGAGTGAGAAAGGGAGGAATCCATACCTAGTGAACAACACGCATGTGTGCATTCCTTCATCCCTTGCTTTACACACAGCTCACTCGCTTACTGAGCACAAGCCGTGAGCAGCCAATCCCACAGTCCCGCCAGAGACCTGGAGGCTGGTTGCCCCCTCACATAGACCCACCCCCCAGGGGACTGAGAGTTTTCGCAGCTAAGACAGCAGGTGAGCAACAAGTGAGAAACGCCCCAAGAAAAGTCAGTGGGGGCAGGAATGGAAAGATCCTGGCAGAATACAGCAGGACATTGAAGGCAGCGCTTGGACGCAGAATAAACAAGTACCAGGTACATGGACAGCAGTCCTTGACTCTTCGAAGGCAAGCATCTGCCATGCAGACCAGAGCTGCGGTCCGCTCTGCCGAGCCCCACCTACGACAGTCTCCTGGATCCCGAGAGTCCTGTGCCCAGCGACTCCTTCTCCCCGAAGCTGGGCCCTGGGCTCTGGGCCTCACCACAAGCTGGAGTCCTGGCACTCCAGGGGGGAGGTGAGTCTTTACTGGTTGGCTGGTGGAAGGACCCCTTCCCCACAATGAAAGGGGCACCAGAACAGAGCTTAAAGAGCGGCCTTCCACTGAGCTGCGCAGTCCCAGTGACTGAGATGCCCCAGCGTCAACAGTGTGTCTACAGAGCAGGAACTTGGGGAGCAGGCTTCACTAGGATAACACACCTTTTCTCATAAAGGACCTCTCACACCCCCGTTGTGTATATTACCTTCTCACAACTGTAAATGACGAAGTCTCAGGAAGGAGTCCTTCTGGATGCCTGTCATTAAAACTAGCCAGAATCTTTTACATCCACACGGATGGGACTGGAGGAGATGATGCTCAGTGAAATAAGTCCAGCAGAGAAAGTCAATTATCATACGGTTTCACTTATCTGTGGAACATAAGGAACAGCAGGGAGGACATTAGGAGAAGGAAGGGAAGAATGAAGGGGGGAAATTGGGGGGGAGACGAACCATGAGAGATGATGGACTCTGAGAATCAAACTGAGGGTTCTAGAGGGGAGGGGGTGGGGGGATGGGTTAGCCTGGTGATGGGTATTAAGGAGGGCACGTTCTGCCTGGAGCACTGGGTGTTATACAAAAACAATGAAGTGTGGATCACCACATCAAAAACTAATGATGTATGTATGGTGACTAACATAGCATAATAAAATAAAAAAAAATAAATAAACTAGCCAGAATCTCCTTCTTCCAAGTATTGGATCAGACGTCCTACTAGAACCAGTGGATGAAAGACCATCCCAGGTGTTTTATGAAATAGAACTGGCCTTATTTTTCAGAAATAGGTAGGCCTGTTCCTCTGTCCTAGATGTGTTTTAGAAAATATTTATTGATCATCATACTGCTACTGTGATTAGATGCTGAGGAATCTGTAAACCCCATTATCACTGAGAACTTTCTCTAAACACATAGTGAAGGACTTACAAGAACCAAGGTAGGGAAGAATTGCATTTGTACAAAATACCTGTATATGCACAATCGTAAGAGCCTTGCCAGGACTAGGAATCCTTATTTGAATTTCTCACTTCTGATGGGTTGTCAGAAATCCAAGGTAATGAAGAGAAGCCAGCAGGGCCACGGAGCAGCCGACTGTTCTGTGAAGAGTGTCGGGGGCAGGTCCCCTGCGTGGTGCTCATTAGCGCCTGGAGCACAGCTTGCGGCCAGGGGCATGTCCCGGCAGCTAACGCAGCTCAGCCTGCACAGCTGGTCCTCCATATGGTTTAAAATTTCAAATCATCCTTAGAATCACCATGGAGTCTTTAAATAATGTAATTAGTTGGCCTTCACTGTGGCCTTTCTTCTTCTCGTTTGAAAATATCTGGAAACACTGTCCATCACTGTGCGCCCACCGTCTCTGTCCCCGGGCCTCACGCTCACCTGATGTGGAGGCTGTCTACACATTTCAAGCTCTTCATCTTTGTTATTTTGCCCTTTCCAGTTTTATTATGTTTCTGATTGGAGAAGCAGCAACCCTGTACTTGTTATTTATTAAAGGGAGAGAAGCAGATGGAGAAAATTGAATTGCTTTGTTATGTGAGAAATGAGCATATTTTATTGATTTTAAAGCATCTATCCTTTTTACTGCCAGCTATTTGAAATATTGAATAACCTCACAGCAATAACACTTCTTTATTCAATTGCCTTAATTTTTATGACTTAAAACACCCAGGTGATGATGAATAATGGTGTTAGGGCAGAAAATTAGTACCTTAGTTTCCCTTTAGGGGCATCTTTATTTTTATCATCTTTACAGATAAAAGGAAACTAAGTGGGTGTGTTTCCAGTGGACCCACTCTGGGAGAATAAAAGGAGTGATACCAGAAAGAACAGGAGCATCAGGAAGAGAGAAATAACAGAGAGGTAAATAGGTGGACACACAGGACAGATTGCTCTTCTGAATATTTTAAATTTTGCTTGACGGTTGAAAACACAAATTATTAGTTTGACTGAGGATATTGTCAATACATGACTGGTCACATGAGCGTCGACTATACCCTAAAGCGGGGAAGACACAGGGAGTTGACTGGTACAGGGCTTCCAACGCCACACGAAGGGGCACATTTCTGTGCCAGCAGACATGATACATCACACGTGCGTGCTGTGATTCCAGGAGCATAGGAACATACACAAGCAGACATACTCCAAAACACCAGGGATAAATTCAACTGAGATAATAAAAACATTTAAGTAATTCACAGAAAAGCAGGAAAGGGGAATGAGTGGATGATTAGAAGATGAATGACCGAGAGACACACTAACTCCTAATGTGTCGACAGTCATGCTAAATATAAATGGTTGAGACACACAAATCGAAAGACAGATTTTTATCACAAAATAAAAGAAAAAAGGGACCAATTATATGCTGTCAACAAGAAACTTACTTCAATTATAATGATTTGTGTAAGTAAAATGTAACAGGATTGGAAAATGTGTGCTGTCATGAGAACGTCGAGTGGCTTTATTAACAACAGAAAAGTGCCCTTACTTCTCCCTGCGCACCCCTCACCTGAGCAATTATACCTGTGCTTGGTGACTCTCCTTTTATCTGCAACTGCTCCATATTTTATTTCAGTTTTGGGTATCTCCAACTGCTATACAGAAGTTTTGCCTCCCAATCCTTTGTCCCTGTAAGATCTCCGGATGGATCTGGGCCAACACTCGTAATTTTTGTCCTGTGTTGTCACCTACTCCTAGTCCAGGTTCCTTACGTAATCATGGGACAGTCTTTTCTAGATTGGTGTGGTATAGAAAACCACTTACAATTTTTAGCCATAAATTTATTGAAGAAACAGTGGCTCCAATAATTCTCAAAATCTCCCCTGGCAAGACACTGGGTCAATAAGGGAGAATATGGACTCTTCCCTCACTTCCTGGAAAGCAAGGTCTAAGTAACACAATTACTAAGCTGACTGTGCTTGTGTCACATGAACTTGGTCCCTGATCAAATTCAAGGCTTTTCCAGTTTCCACAGTCCCATATCCAGGCCACTGGAGTGAGGGTCCATTAGTGGCAGGGTCTCTGAATGGGGGGCACATGTAAACTGACCAAAATTGAATTCCCATCTTGTTTTAGCTTTAAAGATGAAATTGCCCATTTTTGACACCTCATTCTCTGAGAATACAAGGGGTTATAGTGTTTCCTTGACTTTGTTTCTCTGTGGTCTGCCAGTTTAGCATTTTACAGCTTCTTCTGAGAGTCTCGTGCTGTGAAAATACAGCTACAACTATTAAAAAATAATTGTAAAATTATAAATAACTAGTATTGCTTGAGTACCAGCTTTGGACAGGCAAAGGGCTATGCTGGGTACTTTCCACATTTTACCTTTAATTATTTAAACCACATTAATGAAGACTTTTTTGGTTCCCATTTCACAGATGAGAAACTTGAGGTCCAGTGAAGTGAATGACTTGCGCGAGGCACTAAAGTCGAGAAGAGGAGGAAGAGAGCCGTGGGCCTAGAGCAGCTGCTCCTGCAGCCAGGGAGCATTTCCTCCCACCATCAACCTGTGAGTGCGGCGCTCTCCTGCCCTGGGGCCGACCCCACCCAAACAGCTGGAGGTTCCTAGGCATGGAGCACCAGAGATGGCAGGCATCAACCCGTCAACCACTGCTGAAACCAAGACGGAAGCTCACGGGGATCTGGAAAGACCGTCTTCATGTGTCTGGAAGGTGAAGCAATGAAATTCCTGACATCGCAACAAGGCTGTGTCCATCCCTACATTTTGTGTCCACATCTGTCATTTAATAAAGCAACTACATTCTCTTTTCAAGCTGAGCTAAAGTCTAAGTTCTTTGGGGAATTCAGTTTTGAAGATTAATTAAGGTACAAGAGAGTTACTCTTGTATATTCTCCAAAACAAGGCGAGTTTTCAAAAGTAAGATCAGTTTGGTTTTCCTGCAAAATCTTCTGTTTTGGATTATCTTAAAGGCAAAAAACCCACTTATGTAGTAAAAACATTCTTCACTTGCTTGTGTGATATACACATACATCTATCATGTAGATTTCATTTCATGTAGAAAGAAGTGTATGTTCTCATTCATTCTGAAATGTAATACAGAGGGAAGAAAATAAACCGCTCTAATCTCATTAGCCAGTGATAATCAAGTTCATGACTTGGTGAGCATCATGTGTGATTTTGGTTGTGTAGTTACATATATGAGTAGTTAGTCAAAATGGGATTACACTCTATGTAATAGTCTCCCAGTCGTATTTATTAATCTTTAACTCATCAGTTTCGGTTAACACTTTGAAGGAGAATTTTTAATAACGGCATGACACAAATATAACTTGTATAACCTTCCTTTAGTGTGTGCTGTTTTCATGCTAACAACAGTACTGTGATTGGTAGACATTTAACTTCACATGTGTATATAACTCATTACTGAGGATAATTTCTTAGATGGGGAATGTGTACCTGCTTGAGGAAAAACACACTGGGCGGCTTTACTCTGCCACGGAAACATGTCAGGAGGATTCTAGTTTCCCTGTCTGTGTGTTTGTGTGTGCGTGTGCATGTGTGTGATTTTGTATGTATATGTCCAATATTTGCCTATTTGTTAGTGAAAATGTCATCTTTAATTTTAACATCTATTATTGCCAGTGGGGCTGAACATTTTCTTCTAATATCATTTGAATTTTTGAAAACATGGTCTTAACTTCTCCTTTGTGCTCATTCCTTCCACTCAATAAGTCAATCTGTTGGTTTCATGCGTTTCTTTTCATTTCATTTTCTTGCCAGCAGTGGCCAGAAATCACACACTCTTGAATAAATTTTTGGTACATCCATTACTACTGGAAAATAGTAAACAAAGCCATCCGTAGCAGTGATGGGTCTTAACTTTCCTTTGTCATTTAGGGGTGAGAATTACCAAATTTTTAAATTTTACTGTGGTGTCCTCAGACACTCCCTTCTTTATGTGAACATTATTTACTAATTATAATTTCCTGAAAATTGTGGGATATTATTGGAGGCTCACCATTTCCACAAATGTGCTGATAGTGTAATTCTCATGGTAGAAAGCATTTTGAACTCCCTGCAGTGTACTCTGATTGTCAAAGACTGTGAACACGGAGACTGTAAGGTCTCTTTCCACCCAGCAAGGCGGAGTTCAGCCTTTGGCCCAGAGGCATCTTAGTTTTATGTTCTTAGGTCAAGAATGCTTCTCAGCATAAACTCACCTGAAAGCTAAAAAGACTGTTCTCTGGATCCCTCCAGATCTAGGTGAGTTCTGATGCCTGAGGTAAAACCAGAGGCCCCAGGTGTAGACACTGGACAGTGACGATGGGCAAACCAAAGGGCTCCATGCTGATTTTGCAATCAGTTCTGTCTACATCCATTCCCTTCCTGGAGTGGTGTGTCTTTGCAAATCATTCCCATTCAGGGCAAACACAGAAAGTCATGCTTTAATTTCTATGATAATACATTAGCAACTCCAAAATTGGCTGTTTTCTATTAAAAATACAAAGAGTCTTCCTGTAGAATAAGTCCATCTTGCATTTATGCCGTAAAATACCAAAAGTGTTTCCAGATACTACACTTGCCATCGAAAGAGCAGCAGTGCCCTTTTCTTTGGCAAAGCAGCTCCACTTTACTGGTAGAAATAAGGAATGAGTTATTTCCAGCCACCAGAGGACACCATAGTCTGTGCACCCCACTCTTAATTACTGCTTTCCCACCACCCTCTGATGCTTGTTAGACCTTCCATTTCCATCAGACCCCAACACATATATTCTTTTGTTTTGTTTTGCTCTATTTTGTTTTGTTTTCATTCCAGTGTAGCTACCATAGAGTCTTACAGTAGCTCCAGGTGTACGATACAGTGATTCAACAATTCCATCTATAACTCAGTGCTCGTCAGGACAATTGTGCTCCTTCATCCCCTTCTATTTCCCCCATCCTTTCCCACCTGCCCCAGAGCCATCGGTCTGTTCTCTGTAGTTTTGCTTCCAACACACATACTCTTAATCAGTCCAGTGGTTCATGGAATTTCAATGACTATCTTGTTCAACGAGATGAGATTTCTTACTTATGGCTTCCAGAAAGTGGGTAAAAATTAATGTCTGCCAAACCGAGTTACAGTAGTCTCCTGAGGCACTGGCTAGTTCCCACTGCTGTCCACTGGGTTCTTCTGAACATCCTAGCGAGCCATTAAGAACTTGCATGACCCTCTGTGTTGTCTACTAGCACATTTACAGAGTAAGCTGGACGTTCCTGGGGGCAGCATCTTCTTGCAAGTCCTCCGCACAAGTCACCGCATGCATTGACTGTATAGGCAACCCCACAGGTCCTCGTGCATGACTTTTGGGGAAGCGGCGTGGATGAGGGACCGAAACCCAACCATGCTCACAGTCAGGCTGAGACCAGCCCATCCTTCTCCCTTACCCGAGGAGAAGAAAACTCAACTCAGCGGCCATCAAAGAACATGTGGGGAGAAAAACAGTCTCGTTTGCACTGGGCACAGCACACATTTCCGGGTATTTCCAGATGGCTTTGGCATCAAAATTTGTGCAGTAAGGGGCCATAGATCTTCAACCTGATTTAGGCTTAATTTTTAAGCAGCTCCCATGCTTATAAGATGAAAATGTTGAAAATGTTTTATTTTAAATAATAATTAGGGCTCTCTCATAAAAGAATTTTTAAAAACTGTTTGAAGGAGCTTCAAAGCCTTCTTAATTTTAGGCTGTCTCAGAAATACAGACAATTTCCATAATTTTTGTTTTTAAAAGTATGGACCTGTCAGTCTTCTGGGCACCTTACAGAAGCAATTTTCTTGAAAAGGTTACAGAATCTTTCTTCCTTCTATCAAATTTCTCTTCAAAAAGTATTCAGTTTCAAAGAATAGATAGATATTTTATGTGTGCCTTTAAAATCTCCTGTTTTTAACATTAAGAAATGAGATATTTTGTTTGTATTGTAGGTAGCATCTGCTGGAGAGATACATATATTGTTTATTTTAAAATCCCTGCTGCTTCCGGGTGTCCATCCCGGAGGCCCTGGACCCCTGTGTTCTTCACATGTTCTGCAGGCAAATGTTGCCTTGTAAAGCAAGATACTGCAGCCCCACCAATTAACATTAACATCTAATTGGAAACTTAAAAAACAGAGTGACAGAAGGCAAGTGGTCTGGTCCAAATCCAAAGGGACCTCAGAGCTTCCCTGACCAGTGGGAGGACGAGGACCCACTTAAACAAGAGGAGGCTCTGAGCTCCCAGGTGCATGAGGTGTGTGAGCAGCCCATGGAGTGGGAGGCAGGATGAAAAGGTCTGCTGCCGAGGGATGGGAAGCCGGGAAAGGACGAGTGTCAGGCATCTGTGAGGCACCCTGAAATCTGGGATGCGGTCACTATTATTCAATCCACGGCTCTCTATTTTAATACATTTAAAATAAAGCAGATTCCTAAAGTTTCAGGGGCAGTGGGGAAGACCCCAGGAATGAAGGGAGTGATGCTTCAGAAACAAGGGTTTAACTGGAACACCATGCTGTCAAGGTAAGAAGCAAGCAGTGCTCTGGAGGAGGAATTCTTTTTTTTTTTTTTTTTTTTTTTTT